CCGCGTTCGGCGCGACCCACATTTTGCGCGTTCTTTAAGCTCCACGAGCGCGTCGCGGCGCCGACGATAGTTTCTCGCGACGAATGCATACTTACGTTTATATCGTCTTATTATTACTCGAGCCGCGATCGCGGCGGGTGCCGGCGAGAGCGCCGACCGCCTTCTCCGCGCGCCCTTTAACCTGTACGGGCGCGTCGCGACGATGGTTTCTCGCCGGGGTGACGGGGTTGTAGATCGCGTCGTGATAATCGCGGACGACGACGACGTCGACGACCGGTCTCTTCAAAGTCTCTTCGAACGGCGACGCTGCCACACTCGCGTATCCTGCGTCGCACGCTTCGACGATGTTCGGCTGCCCTCGGCTGTCGCGAGTGAAGTGAAGTGAAGTGAAGTGAAGTGAAGTGACGGAAGTAACGGAACGCCGCAACGAAGGAAGCCAGTTGAAATCTGTGTTGATCGACAGTATATTTCGCGCGATTCGCACCTTCGGGAGTTAAAAAACGTTGCGTGCCGCGCGACGCCGAGCGCATCCGCGGGCGGAACGTCGCGCTTTAATCAGCCGCGTTGAATTGCGCGGCATCGGCGTGAAGTTGCCGCGGCAGCGGCCTCCGCCATCTGCATTTTTTTCGGGCGAGTCGTGTGTCGCGTCGCGTCGCGTCGCGCCGTGCGTATCGTATCGGATCGGATCGTCATTAGCGCGCGATTAATTGGCGAGCTGTGCAGCCGCGAGTAATCCCGTATTGCGACGCGTCGACCGCGTACCGTAAAATTGGGCGTTTCGAATCGAGACTCGTTCGCCGGCGAGACTAACCGCGTTTCCGCGAGTTCGTGCGTCACGAGTCGCGAGTGCCGCGCGCGTAGGAATCCGAGAGGAGAGGACGGCCCGCGGGCGGCACCGGGCGAAGGCGGAGCGGAGTGAGTAACTGAATATTATTTGCAAGTGAAACGTTCTCGTACGGAGGAGGGTCCTCTGTCACGAGATAGGATTCTAATATGAGACAGCAGCTTTTCGACGTCCCAATTCAATCGCAAATCTTTTTCCGCAACGATATTGCACGATTTAACAATCAATTTGCCACAAAACCGGACTCCAGGGGCAATAAATTCATGGTGCAATCAACTGGCGATGTCTATTAATTTAGCAGAAACTCCGCTATCTCATATTAGAAGCCTACCTCTTAATAGGGCACTTTCCTCTACGTATAAACGTTTTCTCATTTCGCGGTTATGCTTGCAGTTTAGTGCCGTGCCTCGTTTTCGTGAATAAGTGTTGTGTGAGTGCAACGACGGGATCTGAGAGGAGGAGGCGGTCTGGAAGGCATCGGGCGACAGCGGAGCAACCACAGGGTAATTTATTATTTATACGTTACCTGCTAAATTAATCCGGCCGCTCCAATTAGTTTGAATTACTTGAGTGGGAGAGCGAAAGAGATTTTTGCTAATAATGTATAATATATAATTATATACGTATGAAATGTGTGTCTGTGCACAATATGTTTCCTTTCCCTCGCACAATCTCTGTATACATAAGAGATATAATAAGAATTATTGCGAAATACCCTTGGAAAAATTAACTTAAAACGAAATTGACGTTTTTCAAAGTGATCTTTTCAAAGTAATCTTTCAAACCTGAGAGTTCGCTTAAATTAGATTACACAATATTCGGCACATAATCGTATATAAGCGTATTGTACAATTGTTACATTTGTGTATGATTTTATTTGAGTTCTTCTTATCTCGTCGCACTGCAATTTTGCATTGTCGCATAATGTGATGAAACGTTGCCGAGTATTTTAAGAAATACTTGAGATACTCGATAACAAATATGGTGTGTTTAAAATAGTTAGATTTAAAGCTTGGATTATGCAATAGTTTGGCAAAAGTACGGTTTGGGGGAAGAGGGTTGCTCTGTTTGCTCTTGAATAATTTACTAGAAATGAGAAGAACGAATAAAAGCTTCGATGCGCGCGAGCAATCGTTACATTTTGAAATATTTATCATTTTGACGTCGCTAACTTGGATGTATTTGTGCTTTGCAGATGAACGTCCCAACTCCGCTGCTGCGCATCGTGTCGGTGAGTACAATTATCTTGTATTTTAAATCGAGATGACATTCTATGATCTGAGATCCAGACGATCTGAAGCTTCCAGATCTGTGAACGTGTATCATAGATAAGTCATTAAAGATAGACAACGCTGTAGAGATCTATTATCTTAATATGGATCGGCAAGAATAAATTATTAATATACCGGTATTTAATCCCGGAAACGTTCGAATATTCGTCGATTTATTATGTGCACGGGGATGCGCGGTAATGAGCTCGTAAAATAGAGCTCATTATATCGACGCATTATTTATTAGCACTGTTTGGTATCTTGCGGTACAGCAGAATAATTACGAGATACACCAATTACGTGAGATCGATATGGAAACACACGGGCGGGAATGATAAAATAGAAAAGTCCTCGCGGATAGAATAAGATTGGCAGGAAGTTATAAATAATGATAGTGTGTGCGAAGAAACTAATGGGTTTTCAAATAAATTACATCTAATAAAATGATTTTTCTTATTCGAAGAAATAAAGGATGTAAGAGCCGAGACAGAATGTTAGTCTAAATTATTTTAACTTTTAAATTTTTCGCAATAAATTTAAAAGAGAAAATCATTTAGACACTAACATCTTGTCTTCGCCTTATATCTTTTATTCCTTCGAATTGTGATTTCACATCAGAATATGAATTTTATTGTTTATTATTTCATATACTTTTTGCCACTCTTGCGTAGATAAAATTTTTTAAGAAACCGCGGTTGAAAGAGTACACTATAAAGATGTACTAATAACGTTCTTTGATCAGTTTTGGACCACACAGATACGTTATAAGTAATTAAATGTTGTAGTTTATTGATTGCTCACAAAGTAATAGTGAAAAGTAAAGAAAGGAAAAGGCATTAAAATAACTTTTTACTAAAAAATTCCACTTTTTATTATTAAAACATCATTTTTTGTCGTGAATTATACGAGTATGAAATTAAAAAACACAATAATCAGTATTGTATACTCTAGTATTATATTTTGCGAAATAATTAATTTTGATGGAAATTGATTTTAAATATTGGGTATTAATTATAATTCATAAGCAATATGCTTCAATTTTAGTGGCGCAAAAATTTTATTTCAGTAAAATTCGAAAATATTAAACTCAATTTTAGAAAATGCTAATTAAAAAGTGTTTCAATAGTATTTTATTCTTTTCGAAAATTATCTGAATGTTCTATAATTGGAATATTAATTCCGTACGTAGGTACGTACATATTACGCAGTCATTGAATAAAAAACTAAACGTTTATTTCATTTTAATTTTCTGTTAGCCTGATATTAATTACGAGTCGATGATCTTATTTTCGAATTCCAACAACTTTTAATGAAGATAGAAATGCAGAAATGCTTCTTGTTACACGCTAGGAACACGTCCCTCATTATTCGTATCGAGAGAGATTCGTGTTTTGCAATTACTTGTAATACACGCAATACATGCAACTGCAATAATTACCATTTGCAATATACTGCTTTTTGTCGTTCAATAAAATATCATATAAATTCCTATTGTTAATTTCACGTAACTGTATATTTTAATGTATATTTATACTTAAACGTAAGAGTAAAAGCACGTGTGTGAAAATAAATACGGGATATAAATATAACTAAAAACATAATAATGAACTGCGTAATATCACAACACAGGCAACTTATTCTCTTTCATTTAAAGTTTAAACTATGCCTTTTGTTGTATAAACGCGACATAATTATACATTTATTTCCTTTCTGCTGTAAATTTTAAATTTACAGAGGTAACATTAAAATACTTTTGCGAAAATTAAATTTTCAATTGTAAACGAACCTTTAAAATTATTATTCGGTGAATCCGTTGCAACTTTATTGATACAAAGTTTCTCGTATCTCCCGTTATGGGTAAATTTTTGCGCGTTTTGAAATACAACATATATTTCATTACGAAATATAGCTTGACACAAAGAACGAAATTTTCTTCGTTATATGCACTTCCGGTACCGAACGCATATTTACATTTTTTTTCAAATAACTAAATACTCTCGTGCAACCCAGGATGTTTTTATTAATACGCTCGGAACATTTAGGATATTTAGGATAATCTTATTTAAAGTTTTATAGCTTTTCCGGAAAAGCTTTTTACGTAAATAACATCGAAATGATGATGGTTCGAAACGCGCTTCGTGAACGCGTTCCATTGTTCCTCGCGAGTTTTTCAATATTAAAAATAAACCTTTCGCCGTGCTATAAGTAAAAACAATACGACCGCCGATGCATTAAATGTATCGCAATCTTGCCGTTCTCAATCCGCGCATTCGCGCGCGAGTTAACGAAATCCCTCTCCGCGCGAGCGACCTACCCCAAAGTCGGTTTGCGGCTGGAATCCGGCTTGACGTCGAGAGACGGACAAGGAGGGAAGGAGACCAGGGAGACTCCGCGCACTCGAGTAGAACTGGATCGCACGGAAAATCTTAATTTGACATCCGCACACCAGCACCTTGAGTCTCCGCGGGGTCTCCGCCCCGCTCCCGTCCCTCTCCTCCTCTTTCTTTCCTCCTCGAGCGGCCTACCGTGCCGTACTACCGTCCCCATCGACCTTCCCTCGCACCTCGCATCTCTCCCACCTGCCTCAGCCACCCCCGCGCGCACCCCCTGTCAGGAACGGAGCAGCTCCTCTGGCAGTCGGTTGTCGGCTTCTCTCGACCAGGGACATGCGCAGCAACCCGCGGAACGACAGGTGCGCGCCGCGCCGACGACCGCGAATCGCTTAGTTTCGGGTAAGCGCACGATTCCGCCTCTGCCGCTCTGTCCTCGCTGCGAGACGAGCAGACCCGCCAGTCGCTCGCGACTCTGTCTACCATTCGGTTGCTCGCTCCCGCTAATTTCGTCGTCAACGTCTCTCTCTCTCTTTCTCTCTCTCTCTTCCGGCCCTCCTATCCCATCGGTGATCGGAAGAGAGATCGTTCGTCGGTGACGATCGCGGATCCTCTCGCCGTAAAGAGGATCATCCGCTAGATCCAATCGGCTGTCGACGCCCTGGAGCAGCGGAAGACCCATCGGCGCTTATCGAGCGCACGTGTTCTTCCCTTTGCTCTTCTTCCTATCAGTCTTCCTTCTTACGGAGAACCTCCCTCGTCGACGGACACAGTTCCCTTATCGGAGGTGGTGTTTATCTCCAGTTCTTCTCTCGTGTTCGGACATTCGCGCGCCGTTCTCGCCCCGATCGCCCCGTCTCGCCGAGGCGCGATTTTCTTGCTACGGTCGCTGAGGATCCCGGGGTGCCGGTAAAAATACATCTCGCGATCGTGCTGACGAAACAGCGAGCTCTCCCGCTGATCTCGCTAATCTCGACGGTGATTGTGGATTACTGTGATTATCTGTGAACCCGCACGGTGTGCTCCTGATGAATGTGATGCTCTAGGAAAGTTTCGACGCGTCGGCATCCCGGCATCCCAGGTGGATCCTCTCTCGATCATGCACCGAGGACAGGACCTCCTCCGCGTAAGTGTGGGAATGCGAGCGACCGCGGCGGTCGTCTTCCTGCTTCTCGGCGGATTTGTCCTCCTGCGCGGAGCCGAGGGTGAGTCAGCGACCTAAATTTCTCCCCCGAGAGCGGAATAAATCCGGGATTATCGCTAAGAGTTCCGCGATCTATCTACACGTGTGATGCATCATATGCGTCTGACAGGTGCTTGTCTAAACGAGGTGCGCGAACGCGGTTGAATACCGTGGGATATAAATTCAGCGCGCAATCTAATACACCGGGATAAGGAGAATGTAAAAAAGAAATTGGAAACCCGTCCGTGATTGAGTTCTCCTTTCGCTCTTGCCGCTCGAGAATAAAGATCGCGCCTTTTAAAAGTCGCGGCGAAACAATTACCACCGGCATGCCTGCCATGGATGTGAAAAATGAGACGATATAAAAATAAACCCCATCGCGTAAATCTACTTAACTCGCTGCCTCGAAGTCGTTTTATCATCCATAAATAAACGGATGTAAATGGTTACGATGCTGTTCGGAAAGAGGAGTTTTCCTGGTAGCTCTTACTTTTAGCGACGCGGTTCTGACCACTCAAGGCTGCTGCAATACGCATATGTATACGAGTACTTTGACACGTATTCAATAATAATGAAGCGTCGAAAGATAACAGAAAAAAATCATATAACATTGTTTCAATAAGATTTGATATGAAATCTTTATTCGCGACACAGTCACCCATGTTTTCGTGAATGCAGTGAGACGATCGATCACAGAATCTTATTTTTTTAAATATACTCTGTTGTTATACGTCTGCGTATTATAAAGAAATATGTTGAGGATGCCAGTAGTAAGCGGGAAAAGGGGTAAAAGTTAGTTTATATGGGACGCCACAGTTCGCGAAAGTGGCCAGAATTAGGATAGAAGAAAATGTACAAGAGCGTCGGACTTCTTAATGCTTGTCTGAAGAGGTGAAAAGCTCGACGGAAGGAAGCCGGCCGACGGGTTGCGAAAACAATAATGCTCAGCGACCAGAAATTCAGAGAAAAATGCTTTTATACGCGAGTATAATTTCCCCCGTGGAAAAGCAACGTCCGGCTGTCCCACCTGCGATTCAGCGAAACGAGATTTTAATGTTGCACGAGAACGTGGCGAACATTCGCAGTTGCGCGCCGTTGCTGCAACTCCTAGACGTAAGCCGTACGAGGCCTCGCGTGTTCAAGGCCGCGGAATAATAGCCGCCGCCCGTCGCGCACAGCCCCCGGATGTGTGCACGGCCATTGAAAATCAGATGAAAGGGAAAGAAACAGACGGCGGTATATCTGCAACATCTTGAGGGGCTGCGGGAAAAATTAAAGCCGCACGCATTCACGGCGGTACATACACGCGCCCCCGTTATTCGATACGTACCGTCGCGCGCTCGTAATCAAACTCCCCCGTGTCGAGTGAAAAAAAGGCGCTGTCCCCGATTGCGCCTCGCCGTGAATTTCGATACTGCGACGAGGGAGAGAACGGGAGAGTTGTTCTCGCACGCCGTATTGCTGCGTTCGAATTTGCAACGTATGTTGTTACACCTCACGCGGCGCGAAAGTGCGGGCTGAGGTCGCGGATTTGGCGCGAATATATCCAACTACCCTTTACGAGCGAAATATCACCGCTCTTGAAACCTCGCGCAGACTCTAGCGTCTCTACACGTCGTACGACGTCGCGTACCGTTGTTACGGGATGATAACTCGTATCTATTTATACGAAAAATCAATCGTTTTGTTTATAATAAAGAAATCTTATCGGAATTTAAAAATAGCGGTATACGCAGCCGGTGCATCGATATATCGCATGACGATGAGCGGGCTCTTTAAATATCCGTGGAGAATAAATTTACGCTGACCCTATCTACGCTATTATACACGATGCATACATAGATGTTATCTTGTGCGAAAAAAAAAATGTATAAATCGTCGCGAGCTGCTTTCATCGCTGATGTATATCTTTGCATATAAACGACATCCTGAAAATCACTTAACGCCGTTTTGCGGCGTTAGTGCCATAACTTTCGTTGCACGAAACAATTTGGAACAATGCGCGGGCGATATATCATCGCGTGTCATTGATATGTTCAGGAAAAGATTACATGTATAGGATATTAAAGCGCAACCAAAATTGAAAGTCAATAGTGCGTAAAATAATAATGCAACTCTGAACCGTGCTCAAAGTCATAATACAACGAAGAAATATTCCGAGTAATTGTTTACTTATTTGCGGTCAATCTGTGATAGAAATATTGGCATTTTTGTCATTAATCGTCATTAATTTTTTAATGACAAGCACATAAGGTATCCTAAGATGATCCGACAAATTTCTTTGATCGTTTTTCGAAATTAATGTGTGCCGCGATGGTATTTTGAGATAATGATTTAAATACATTATATAACATGATGCCTATTGCGTTTGCACATCGTGCGCGCAATTACGTCGGAAATGCTTCAAATTCTAGTAATCTGAAAGCACGTCACGTGTTGGCCAAGTCCCAAGCAAGTTCTAAATCTGTGTGGCCGCTTGCTCGGAAACTAACAAATATAATACGGTAGGCCGCGAAGCGCGTTCGCATGTGGCAAACGCATAAGGGAGCAAGTGCAACAGAAGCTTTCTAAAAGCGGCGACGGCCGTTTGGAACGCGATATGTCGCATCCGCATTGCAATAATACACAAACTTATGGAATAATGTAGATTACGAAAATTAAAAATCGTTTATTATTTCATAACGTAGAGAATCAGGAGTCGAGATTCGACATACCCAACAAAGAGAAATATATTTTTTAATATAATAAATAAATATATGCACGTAAAAAAGTTATTTACAAATTTATACTCTCACAATTTCCAAATAAAGTGCTGATTTCATAACAGTTTACTCGGGCAATATTTTATTGATACTTTAGTTTAAAACGTAACCCATTTATTTATTTTAAAACCACGATAAATTTCGATTTTTACGCTATAAATATGTTAAATTTGTTTAAATCATTTTAACTAAATAAAACAATGATACAAAAGATGTATCAAAGAAGGACATATATAACTGGGCGTATTTTATGCGTGTTTTTATAACGGCCATATAGTCAGTAACAATGTAGCGATACAATTGCATAAATATGGATTGATTATTGGAATGTAATCTTCGTATTTGCGGCTTTCTATATTTTTGCAATACTATATTATGTAATTAATGAAAAAAGCCTTGTCAATTTCCAACAGTAAACTTTTTGACGTCAATTTGTATTCTCTATAAAATATACGATATTACTTAAAAAAATATATCAATCGATACAAAAAATATAATACAAAAGACGTAATATAATTTTATGTATTTATCTTATCTTTTCGAATGTTATTGATTCCCGCATATAAAATTGAGCAAATATCTTTAACTTAAAGAAAACGTGAAACGATTGAAACAAAAAAAGTATCAAAGTGACGTTGCTGCGTGTACTTATAAACATGTAATACGAATGCAATATGTATTCTATACTTCTTCACATTCTCTATGCATGGAAAGTTCCTAATATTTTCTGAACGATCATATCAACATGCTGCATCGTCACGAAAACTTGCAAGTCTAGCAGGAGTCACAGATACGATGAATACTTTTTCTGAAACATGTTTTAGTTATCCATTTTGATAACACAAACATAGCAAAAATATAGAAAATTGTAAAAATTTAGTAACCAAATTCAGAGAAATTTTGCTAATTATAAAAAGTGAAAAATGTAAAACACTTTTAAATAGTCGTAAGACTTAAATTAAATATTGTCAAAAAAAACTCTTATAAGAAAACTACGTGTCCAAATTTTTAGCATTTTCTTAAACTGAAGTAAAAACTAATCACATACAAATATAAAATAAATTATTATGTACCTAATAAATGCATTAAATTGGTACGTGAGTTAAAGTTTTAAAGGAAAAATCTATTCTCATCTTCCATTTCTACGTCAAAGAAAATTAACTGAAATTGATTCTTTACATTGCCTTCCATAAAGCAAATATTTGATTGTTGACTAAACGTGTCCCCGGTTGTAAATTCTGTCGCGTTAAAATAAACGTTAAATTTATGCAATGCTTTGTAGAACGCTTAGGTTCATGAACTGTGAAATCACATATTTTCGCGACTACTACTCACTCCTCGCAAGTATTATTTCGCTTTGCGCGATGATAGGGAACTATAATGTACTGGGGCTTTTGTTACGGAAATAGTTTGTCACTAATTTCGTTTTGGACTTCGTTTTGCGGCAATCAGAACTTTCGTTAACTTTTGCAAAGTTTTATCAATTTACATTCAGAAGGATACTGTCGGGAGATATTAATAATAGTCATACCGTGAATAGAAGTCCTGTACCTCTAAATACTTACTTCTCATCGAAACTTTTGCATAAAGGTAAGCAAAAGTACGAATTCCCTCGGCAATATCTCCCTGTATTTTTTTCGAACGCTACTTTAATAAGCTACTTGACTTAAGAGTGGACAGTATTTCCACTCTTAAGAAAGTAGCGGCATAATTATTCGGAATAATTACGTGAATCAACGAGCCGTGAACATAAACGGACTCTGGAAATAGATACTTTTCTGTACTGTGTTCCAAATGTCGTTTTAGTATAGTTTTTAGCATTACAGTTTGTATTCTTTTAGCAGAAAGCTTTGATAAGAGGTCGTACTTTGTTGAAACAATTTAATTATTTCAGTAATTGCATTTTTAATAAAGTTGCAAAATCGAGTCTCTGTCCAAAATTAAAATCGCACCGCATCTCTGTGCTGCTAATTCCAAATTTCCATAGAGCACATTTAAAATTGCGTATACAGGAGTTGAAATAAAAAATTAATTACACTATAAAGTGCATCTGTATTTATCAAATTGACCGTGAGAGCACTCGAATGAGGTAATTACAGCCGGTAATCTCAAGTTTCGTGCTCGCTCACATCCTTACGTAACAGTAGAAATGCACGAAAACATCGCGGCTCCACGATAAATGTTTCGCGCTTATCAATTCCGCTAGCTTGGGAAGTTTAAATGAAATAAGTTTTTGGATATGTGGTGTATATGTGCCTTA